TGGGCAAAAGATGTATGGGTGTTCTCTGTACTTTTTTTTTTTTTTTTAAAGACTTTATTTACTTGCCAGGAAAAGACAGATGGACAGAGATAGAGCAAAATTAGCAGGAGCAGCAGGCAGACAGAGAAGCAGGCTCCCTGCTAAGCAAGGAGCCTGATGCTGGACTCAATCCCAGGACTCTGGGATCATGACCTGAGCCAAAGGTCGACGCTTAACCAACTGAGTCATCCAGGCATTCCCCTTTGTACTACTCTTATTCTTCCAACTTTTTTGTAAGCTTGAAAATATCTCCAAACAGGGGCGCCTAGGTGGCTCAGTAGGTTAAACATCTGACTCTTGATTTCAGCTCAGGTTATGATCTCAGGGTCGTGAGATGGAGTCTCACTGTCAGGATGCAGGCTAGGCATGGAGTCTGCCAGAGATTCTCTTTCTCCCTTTGCACACATTTCTCCCTCACCCTGGGCTTGTGCATGTGTTCACACTCTCTCTTAAAGTAAATAAAAATATTTTAAAAAGAAAAAAGACATTATTTCCAAATTAAAAATCTAAAAATAACACACTCTTTGCATAACTAACTTATGTTGTTAGAAGTTAGGTTAATGGTTATCCATTATGGCAGAATACTGAGTATAAGAGAGCATGATGGGGCTTTCAGTATGTTAATAAAGTTATTTCTTGATTTGGAAACATTCACAAATGTGTTCAGCTTGAGAAAAATCATTTGAGTACACTTATGTGTACTTTCCTATAAATATATTTCGGGGTACCTGGGTGGCTCAGTGGGTTGAGCCTCTGCCTTCGGCTCAGGTCGTGATCTCAGAGTCCTGGGATCTGGCCCCGCATCAGGCTCTCTGCTCAGCGGGGAGCCTGCTTCCCCCATCTCTCTCTGCCTGCCTCTCTGCCTACCTGTGATCTCTGTCAAATAAATAAAACTTTAAAAAATATAGATATATGTATTTCAATAAAAACTTGACAAAATAAAAAAGACCTGCCAAAGGACCAGAGCAAAATTTTCTAGAGATGTAGTCTAAATAGTTTTGTATTTCACTGATTAAAAAATGGAAAACACTTGCCTATGCATGTCTGTACAATCTAGACAGAAGACTCTTCGAGGGTAGAGATTGTGTCTTCTTTCATTTATCATCTATACCACCTAGTAGAAGCTTACCATGTAATTTCTCAATAAATACAGTAAGTAAATAATTTCTTAATAAATAATAAATACCTTATACTTTTCATTAAGGTATTAGTCTTTTTTTTTTTAAGATTTTATTTATTTGACAGAGATCACAAGTAGGCAGAGAGAGAGGAGGAAGCATGCTCCCCGCTGAGCAGAGAGTCCGATGTGGGGCTCAATCCCAGGACCCTGGGATCATGACCTGAGCCAAAGGCAGAGGCTTTAACCCACTGAGCCACCCAGGTGCCCCAAGGTATTAGTCTTGATCCAGTTATTTTACTCAATTTAATTACCAAATTATTCATTATAAATCATATCTCAGTAAATAAATATGCTTGTTAGTTGGCACGGGGCTAAATGGAATCTATTTTTCTTTTTAATTATGAGTTTATTTGAGCAAAAATCAATTTGAATTGGGCTGTGCCAAACTGGAAGTGGTTAGAGTACTCTGCCCCACCTGTAGGAGTTAGAAGACTTCTATAGAGAAGTGGAAGCAAAGCAAGGAAGTTATTTTTGATTGGTTATACCTTAAGAATTTGCCTTATTTGGGAAGGTCTCACTGACTACTTGTGATGGGCTGTCCTTAAGTTTTTATTTTTTATTTATTTTAAAGATTTATTTATTTATTTATTTGACAGACAGAGATCACAAATAAGCAGAGAAGCAGACAGAGAGAGAGGAGGAAGCAGGCTCCCCACTGAGCAGAGAGCACCATGTGGGTCTCGATCCCAGGCCCGTGATCATGACCCAAGCCGAAGGCAGAGGCTTCAACCCACTGAGCCACCCAGGCGCCCCAAGTTTTTATGTTTTATATTGAAGTATATAGTTGACACAATGTTACATTAATTTCAGGTGTACAACATACTGATTAGACAAGTCTATACATTGTGCTATGCTTACAAATGTAGATACCATCTGTTCTGTTACAATACCAGTGATTTCCCTATGCTATACCTGACATCCCTGTGACTTAACTCATTCTATAACTGGAAGTCTATATCTCTAATTGGGAACCATTTTAAGATCACATTAATTTAATGTTACAGTTGAATTACTTAGCCTTTGGTCCCAATTCTTCTATTCTGAAATTACCCTATTGTAAAACATTGTTCTTATTCATCCCTACCAAAAAGTACTGTTAAAGAAAATTAAACTGAGTTTGAGGATTCTGTAATAGTCCTTCGTATACACAGTGAGAAAATAGAGGAAGAACAATCTTGGCTGGAGGCTGAGAAAGATCATTTAACTCACACTTTTCACAACTTTTTTTTTTTTTTAAAGATTTTATTTATTTATTTAACAGACAGAGATCACAAGTAGGCAGAGAGGCAGGCAGAGAGAGAGGAGGAAGCAGGCTCCCTGCCAAGCAGAGAGCCCAATGTAGGGCTTGATCCCAGGACCCTGAGATCATGACCTGAGCTGAAGGCAGAGGCTTAACCCACTGAGCCACCCAGGAGCCCCACTTTTCACAACTCTTAATATTTTTCTCCTCTTAATCAGTTCCATGTTAGGACACAAAAAACATGTTTTACAGGTCACTTAGATATCCTCTCTGATCAGGACTTAGAAGTGATTCACCATGACTAGTCTACTAGCCCTTGTATGTTTTAAAAAGGCAAAAAAGAAAAACTTCCCATAGCCAGACACAGTCTCATGAGCATTGGGCTGGGATGGCAGAATCTATCCCAGCTCTCAGCTAGATACCAGTGTCAAGTACAAATTGTACATCCATATGCAGCCACCCTGTGACTCATCTTTGTCTCAGAAACTTTATTTTCTTCTTAAAATCATGATAATGATTTAAAGTAACTTATTTATTAATCTACATTTTACATATATTCCCACATTCAATACGGCACTTGATATCTTCTCTCCAAATGAATAATCGTATCATTTCCTTTTATAGGAAACCTTCCTTTTATTGTCCTGTAGCTCTTCACTTACATCAACTATGAGTATTTACCTGATAAGCCATGATAGTACCGTAATACCTCCAAGTCCTTTTACTTCCTACTAGTCTGATCACTTGATTTTGTATGTTTATAAACTTACTTATTAATAACTGCACGAGTGGATTCAAACTTATTTTACACAAAAGACTCCTAAATGAAGGGCAAAGCTCTTTGGGGCAGAAAACTATTCTTTTTATTACATAATTCTCTTCAAAGAATTACCTACAAATTACCTACAAATACCTACAAAGAACCCTACAGACTAGAAAATGCTTTTTGAGATAGGTAGCTGCCTGCTTCTTAATTTAGTTAAATACCTGAGACAAACAGTATTCACAGATTTCTAATATCTTTCATATAAATGGTTGAGTATCTGAGAATTGAGTCTTCATTAAATATGTTAACTGTAATCTGTGTCCCAAAAGCACAACATAAAAGACTGAACTATAAAACAGACAAATCAGAGTATACTTATAAATTAACTCAAAAAACAAAGTTCCTTTAATACATCTAAATTAAGCAAATGTATACATATTAAGCAATATCTGCTATACAAATCATATATATATATACATATATGCAAAACCTATTACTGTTTATATGGTAAAACCTTACTACTTCTGAATAGTAGCTAAATGCCAATTATAAAAGTTTAACACAACTTATTTTCAATTATCTTTGTTGACTATAATTGGGTTAGTAGTGTGCCAAAATATAAAGGTATAAACAGATAAAAGATTTGCTTTTTAAAATATATACGAATTCATAATCAAGCAGTCAATTATTTGAATATGTTGAAAAACATTAAAGTTTTTTGCTATAAAAAAACAATTACTTCAATCTCATTTATATAATGAATCTGTTTGAGAGACTTTATTTAAAAAGAAAATATCAGTTACTGTTTTATTTTCTGCCTAATACATAAAACAATCAGTATATATTCAATAGGTGCTCTTTTCTGGGGCGCCTGGGTGGCTCAGTGGGTTAAGCCTCTGCCTTGGCTCGGGTCATGATCCCAGGGTCCTGGGATTGAGCCCTGCATCGGCTCTCTACTCAGCGGGGAGCCTGCTTCCCCCTCTCTCTATGCCTGCCTCTCTGCCTACTTGTGATCTCTGTCAAATAAATAAATAAAATCTTCAAAAAAAAAAAAATAGGTGCTCTTTTCTCAAAATAATACCATGTAACTGCCATCATTATGTACCATGCCAAATAAGAAGGCTAAATAGTTCCAACATACATCTGTCTGCCTCCCTTCCAACACATACCCCTATAGAAAAGACCCATCAGAACAATTCATTAGTTTTTATCTGGCTTTCTACATAATTTAGAATAACAGAAGCGCCCCAAAATCATTAGACTGAGAGTGGTATCTATTATCAAAACATCTCTATAATAGTAAAAAAAAAAAAAGAAGAAGAAGAAGAAGAAAGAAAAAGAAAATACTGATGCATATTTAAAATCCTAACTGTATTGTTTTCATACTTAGAATGTACCTAAGTTTATTTTACGACTGTATAATATGGGTGATATAACTTTACATCGGACCTGACGGTGCTAACAGTCCCATTTTAAATTCTTTTTGAGTAATTAAAAATTAAGTTAAGAAGCATCTCTGCATAAGCTACATAAACTGATTTCAAAGGTTTAAAAGAAATGAAAATACAAAACTCCCCAATTCACAAAACTAAGAATAACACTCTTCTTAAATATTAACAACCCTTAGCAAGTTGTCCAATTTAAGTCGTTCTAGAAACTGAGTAATGTTTTAACTCAAGAAAAAGCACACATTTATTATTTTTAGTGATCATACACTGATTTATGAAGTAATGTTTCAAAAATTGTTTTTAAAAACATGTTTCTGGAAATCTTACCATGAGCTGTGTAGTTTGTACAGTTAACTGGTTCTTGTGTAGCATCATTTATTTTTGGATCTTTACAAATATATCTGAGAAAAGTTAAGGAAATATGAACCACATTCCAACACAAAACATTATCATCTTGTCTTTAATATCTTGTATTACATACTCATGTTTACATTCACATGTTAAAAAAAAAAGCTGTTGGTTGGCCCAAAGCAACAAGCATAACCACAAATATACTTTCAGCATCACTAAATACTACTTGAACAGTAATTTATTACAGGAAAAGTGTATTAACTTAATATATATTAAAAGCTCTAGCCAAGGATGCCATCCTTAAAGAACATCAGTCAGGGTTTAAGCATAGAGCATAAAGGAAAATTGGAAATTAAAATCTTTACCAAATTATTTTAAGAAAGCTTCAGGTTAAAAAAAAATCAATTTCTAAGCATATGATTGAACTAATTTATGGGGTCCCATAGTATCGTCACATACCTAACTTCATATAGTACAAATAACCCTGTGAAGTAAATACTATTCCCATATTACAGAAGCACAAACTGAGGCTCAAAGTTTGAGAGACCTATCCAAAGTCATGTAACAAGTGATAGGGAGTAAAATCAGGTTTCCTGATTCCAAGCCTAGAGTGCTTTCCATTAGACTGCAGAGAAGATAGCCCTTTTAGGTGAATCTTCAGTCTCCCCAACAGGATCTTAAGTTTTGAAAAACAGGTATAATTGTCCTCTAATTTCAAAACACTTGCAGTTGGCTTTTGTTTCCTAAATATTTTATTGACACTAAAATGGGATAAATAAGGTGTTCGCCTTATTTATCTGATACCTGTTTAAGGTTTTTTAAGCACTACTAGAAACCTCATCTTCAGGCCAGGAGTAGCAGACATTCTCCAGTCTTCATCACCAAATGCTCAGCCACATCTCTCTGGGGTTCAAACTGTACAATTCTTCATACAATCCAATTATTTCTTAGAATCGCTCTGACATTTTTACCAAAAAAGACTCAACTTACTAGGTCAGTGATTCTCAAATTCCAAGCATAATGGTATTCAGCAAATTGGAGCTATGGTGTAAGCCATCTAATAATGGCTGCCTCTCCCTAACTCACATAAAAATACTATAGGAGAGAATTTTCTTAATTTTAAAATTCTGTCTCCTAGTCTTTCTCCTATCTCTGGCTTCTGTTACTAATTTTTCTGCTCTGTAATTTGTATAAAATGATCTAATTTTGTACAAAAGTAGCTATTCTAATTTGACTGTAACTCCCATTTCATAAGGGCTCCTCCCTTCAGCAGAGCTATTACAATGAACTGTTCCACTTAACCCCTTCAGCCTCAGTTTCCTCATCTGTGAATAAATAACATAGATAGTCCTTATTATGTGCCAGGCATTGTTCTATATGATTCACTTGCACTAATTTCTCACAACAAACCTTTCAGTTGGTAACACTGTTCTCTTCATTCTTACTCAAGAGAAAAGAGAGTTCAGATAATTGGCCCACAGTTACAATAGGGAGAAGGAGTTTGCCCCCTGACAGTTTGGCACCTTATGGAGTTTGAGGATGATGTAAGGTAATACGCACAGAGTTAATGATAACTGGCCAATATACAAGGGATATATCGTTATTAACTGCTTATTTGTCTCCGCCCCCAAGTCAGCAAACTTCTACAGTGGAGCCTATCAATTTTCCTATTACTAGGGCCTAGAGGGCCTGGCATACTTCAGGATCTGGGTGTTTGTTGAATAAGCCCACCAGTAGTTAATTAATTAATAATAAAAATAAGTGAATTAGAAGACGAGGCACTAACCATCAGTAAAATTCCAAGGAAAATCACACAGGGTGACCGCTGTTCTTCCCACCCTCACATCTCTTTTCACCCCCCGAGTCTGTCCGTCATTAAAAGCCACAAGTCACCGATCCCTTAAACCAACCCTGGCCCGCGCTGAGGGCCGCGACCCACTTGCGACCCCTAATCTACCTCGCCCCCAAGGCGGGGGGGGGGGGGGCTCCTCACAGAGGATATTGTCCCAATTTGAGGTCCTCGCACTTAAGCGTCTCCTCGCCACCGGCGGCGGCGATCGCAGCAGCTCCCCAAGGTCCCGTGGTGACTGACACGAACCACAGGACACCCAGGACCTGGGCGGCCACGGCCTCCGGAGTAGCTGGCCCAGACGGCCAGGTGGCCGCCATGCTGGGAACCCGCGCGACCTCCACAACTTCCGGTTCCGCCTTTGCGTAGGCGGGGAAGGGAGAAGGGCGGAGGGATCGAACCTCTTAAAGGGACCGTGCCTCGTTTGGAGGCGGGTTTCTTCCCCTACGGGGCCTCGGGTTTACCTGCAAGTGCTGTGATTTGTCTTCCTCAAGAGGACTCGCTTTGAGAATCATTGGCCCTGCACCCACTGCTTCCTCCCGAGCTAACCCTGCTGTGACTTTTCCTCCTACAAATGTTCCAGGGGCACCCGGCGATTTGTTAAGCGATTTACAAACATTATCTCGGAGAGTCTTGTTAGGATTTGAGTTTACAGATAATGAGCCCGGCTCAACGTCGCTAAAAAACAGACCGACCTTAGTGAATTGGAATCAGATTGATAATTTGCCCGATTTCAGAATCCGTGCTCTTACTATTATGATAGAATGACCTATCTGTTCGCTTAGAGAAGAACTTATGGAAGGCTCTTATACAGAACTTAAGAAGTCTATCACAAAGATAGGCATTACACTTTTAATTTTAATACCGGACATTTATATGAGCGAGAGGGCCTATAAGAAAAGGAGATGAAAGAATTTACGACTACACAAGGGAGAAGTTGGATTTTTCTTTTTGAATTTCTGTATATTCTAAAAATTCTGTAGTGGGGATATCTTTTATCCTGGGCAGCACATTTACTTTCTTTAGTGAAAGTTTAAGCCATTTTCTCTAACGTAAAAACATTCGGATTTGGTGCGGCCTCATTCACTGTAGCACTAATTTTGAAGAATTGCGTTATGCAGTGTTTCTCAAATTTTAGGGACCATCAGAGTTATCTGGAAGCTTTTTTCAGACACCAAGAATGGGACCCACCCTCATTTCTGATTATGAAAATTTAGGGTGGGGCAGGAAAATTTACATATGTTACGAGCTTCCAAATGATGCTGAGATTGCTAGTCCAGACCCCACACTTTGAGAAGCACAGGATAAGGTATTATGTGAAGTATCATTTTGGAATGGGAAGACATGAAATTTTTTACAATAATATTTTGGTAGTGTAACTACAGTTAAAATTTTTCTTAAGCCAATTTTTTGGCATTACTGTGCTATTTTTACTTTTTTTTTTTTAAGATTTTATTTAAAGTAATCTCTATACCCAAGGTGGGGTTTGAACCTACAGCCAGGAGATCAAGAGTCACTGGCACCCCTACTATGGTTCTTGCAAATTAAAATATTTATGTTTTAAAAAAAAATGTTTGTGCTTAATTAAAGATTTAAATGATAGGAAATTTGAATTTTACTAGTTCAATTTTTAAACTTCCTCTTTTAAGTTGACTTCTCTCTTTTCTCTCTTTCCTCCCTTTATCCTTCCCTTTTTTCTTTTCTCTCTCTTTCCCTCCATAGAAATATTTATCAAGCATTTATTGTGTAACCAACATCAGGTGAGACCCGACAGACTCAAAAAATGAAGAGATGAGAACCCAGTAATTAAACATTTTATGTTTACTAGGGGAAAAGATAAACAGTTAAAGTACTGTTTGATAATTGTTAAAATAGAAGCTTGTACTAGTTACTGTATTAGGACAAGGGTTTTGATTAAGATATTCCCCCCAAAACGGCGCCTGGGTGGCTCAGTGGGTTAAATCCTCTGCCTTCGGCTCAGGTCCTGATCTCAGGGTCCTGGGATCGAACCCCGCATCGGGCTCTCTGCTCAGTGAGGAGCCTGCTTCTTCCTCTCTCTCTGCCTGCCTCGCTGCCTACTTGTCATCTCTCTCTCTCTCTGTAAAATAAATAAAATCTTAAAAAAAAAAAAAAAAGATATTCCCCCCAAAACAGTACTTGGTACACAATGTTTTTGTTTTTGTTTTTAAGATTTTATTTATTTGATAGAGATTACAAGTAGTCAGAGAGGCAGGCAGGGAGAGAGGAAGCAGGCTCCCTGCTGAGCAGAGAGCCCGATGTGGGGCTGGATCCCAGGACCCGGAGCGGAAGGCAGAGGCTTTAACCCACTGAGCCAGCGAGGCGCCCCGAATGTTTTGTAACTAGTATAAGAACAATTAAAAATCCAGGCCAGTGGGGCACCTGGGTGGCTCAGATGGTTAAATGTCTGTCCGCTCAGGTCATGATCTCCAGCTCAGCAGGGAATCTGTTTCTCCCTCTCCCTCTGCCTCTTGTGCTCTCTCTCTCTCTCTCAAATGAACAAATAAAATCTTTTTAAAAATAAAATAAAATAATAAATTAAAAATCCAAGCCAAACTGGAGGAACAGAGTTGTATCTTCATAGGATACATGACCATCTAAAAACTCTAAAAACATAGAGCTTAGAAAATTAAGTTAAAATAATACCGATGATATATATAATATACAACTCAACCACCATCTCTCAGCCTCATCCTGAGATGAAATTTAGCAAAGGGGTTGGGGTCAAGGATTGGCTAAAATCCTGGGATAAGTTTCAGAATATCTGCTACTATATTATCTGGTAATAAGACATTGGCTTTGCATTTTGACTACCATTTTGATTCACTTTCAAAATGTTCTAGTTTGATTTTCAAAATACAATCTAAAGCTAATCAGAATGTGAAAGGAAGACTTTCTAGACTGAGTTTATTGAAATTACAACTAAATTAGCTATTTTCCTGATGACTGCAGGAATATTGCTGATCTTTGTATCATTTTTCGTCTAGATTTGAACAATTAACTGTCTGAAAATGCTTATGCTTTGCTGATTAATCCCATTACAAAATCTATTTTTATGATTCTAATGATTACCTTCATTTTCTCTTAGGATGTGTAAACTGAAAAGAACAAAAGAGTCTCCCACAAAAGTAAAAAAACAATAGAGAATTTTTAACTCTTGAACTGATGGTACACTTAAAAATTCACTTTCTCAGGTCACTGCCCACATTCTCTACCAAAAATACAAACAAATACCCCCCCATGACTTTTCCTTCTTACTACTGCCTCTTAATCTATTTTCTTATGGCTCAGTAAAATACATTATTTCTTTGCACACATAGTCTCTGATCACATGATTACTATATAGTCTTGTTTTAGTAAATTCTTAAATCTCAATCCTAAGTATGTTTTCAGTGACAAATTTCTTTGTCACATAAAAATTATATGGAATTCTATAGGAAGCAAAGGACATGAATAGCACAATCTGATATGGAAATTGCTATATAGAAACATTAGGAAAGATTACCAGTGAAGACTAAAGCAAAATTCCTCTGGGATTTAAGGGCTCTGCACATTGGCTCTTTCCATTCCTGTTTCTAGCATAGACCTTATTATGTTAACAGATCGTTTCACCCATCACAAAACTTCCAGAGGAAACCATCCTGGGGGTGCCTGCCTGGCTCAGTGGGTAGAGCATGCAATGCTTGGTCTTGGGGGTGTGAATTTGAGCCTCACATTGAGTGTAGAGATTACTTAAAAAAATAAATAAATAAAATTTTGGAATCAAAAAAGAAAAAAACGAACCTGACTCCCCTTTCCATGGTTAGAACAGAAACATTAGGAGGTTAAAGACTGTTACCCTCCAAAATATTTTCTTTTTCATTTGACTGTGATGGGCAATTTTTTCCTCTCATGGTAAGTTCATAATATCAAAGCTCTGTTAGATTTTTTTTTTAAGATTTTATTTATTCGACAGACAGAGATCACAAGTAGGCAGAGCAGCAGGCAAAGAGAGAGAGGGGGAAGCAGGCTCCCTGCTGAGCAGAGAGCCTGATGCGGGGCTTGATCCCAGGACCCTGGGATCATGACGGGAGCCAAAGGCAGAGGGAGGCTTAACCCACTGAGCCACCCAGGCGCCCCCTGGTAGATTTTTATTTTAAGGTTTATTTATTTATTTTTAGTAATCTCTACACCCAATGTAGGGCTTGAATTTACAACCCCCAGATTGAGTTATATGCCCCTCCCACAGAGCCAGCCAGGGTCCCTGGTAGATATTTAGCATATCTGGAATACTGCCAAGTCCATGCTTTTGTCTCTCAAGTACTTCTGCTTGTGTCCTCTCTTTGGTTCACCAGTCTAACACCCTACTATCCAATTAACTTTGACTTATCATTCAATAAAACCTATTCTATGCCAAGTACATTTCATCTTGAATGTTATGTTTAGGACCTAAAACAGACTCTACGAGGGTCTGCTTCTCAAAAAAACAACATAAGATAAGTTGGCTTTTCTCAGTTTCACCACCAATATCCCTTCTAACAGGCTCAAAATTTAGAATCATCTCTACACTTTAGTTTTCTCCTTATTCTTCAGGAATCCCTTTATCTAATTAGTAAGCAACTGATATTTTTAATTGTTCATTTTTTCAATCCTAAATTCTTACCCTATCTCAGGTATTTATCATTTTCCATTTACCTTGCTTTACTGGCTCCTTTCTCCTCCTCTTCCTTCTTTTTCTTTTTTAAAGATTTTATTTATTCACTTGACAAAGAGGCAGTGAGAGAGGGAACACAACCAAGGGGAGTGGAAGAGGGGAAGCAGCCTTCCTACTGAGCAGGGAGCCCGAAATGGGGCTTGTTCCCAGGACCCCAGGATCATGACCTGAGCCAAAGGCAGACTCTTAATGACTGAGTCACCCAGACGCCCCTCTTCCTTCTTTTTGATTCTAGGCCCTCTAAGTTTGTCAATCCATTTTTTAAATACTGCTTCTGATTAATCTTTCATCAAAAAAAAGAAAAACCCATTATATCATATTCAAAATCTCATTCAAAATCCTACTTAATCTCCTTGGTGTTGTTGACCTTGAAAACAAAACAGTCAGTTACTTCACTAGCAAAATGGGTGTTTTTTTGTTTTTGTTTTTGGTTTTTCAGAAATAGCAGAGGAATTGCAATATGAGGCATGCAAGCTATGGCAAACCATCATCAAATCAGGAGAATAAAAGAGATGAATGCTACTTTATAGAGAAAAAGGAGGAACCTGGGAGGGGATGCTTTGAACAAAGGTCCATTGGAGGCAAGTGAGAGTTCAGGGTCGTGAAGGTTTCTCATTAGCTGACTTATGGCAGTTTCTCGTTGGCTGGGCTATTGCCAGGCAAGGAGAAAATCTTCCTCCCCCTTGCTGGGGTAGTAAACTAGGCTTCTTTTGGGGGTCTTCATTATTCAGCTACAACTCATTTAGCCAAAGGAGTTGAAAACTTACGTCCACACAGAAACCTGCACATAGATGTTATAGCAGCTTTATTCATAATTGCCAAAACTTGGAAGCAATTAAGATATCCTTCAGTAGGTGAATGTATAAACTGTGGTATATCCAGACAATGGCATTTTATGCAGTGTTTAAAAAAAGAGAGCTATAAAGCCATGAGGAAACATAGAGGAATCTTATATGCATATTTCTAAAATAGTTTTTTTTAACGATGTATTTATTCATTTTCAGATAGAGTGCTAGCATAGGTGGGAAGGGCTAATGGAACGGGGAGAATCCCAAGTAGACCCTGCACCTAGTGGAGCCTGACACAGGGCTTGATCCCAGGACCCTGAGACCGTAACACCGGCTAAAACCAAGAGTCAGGAGCCCAACTGACTGCACCATCCAGCTGCCCAACTGACTATGCCACCCAGGTACCCCTTGAAAGCATATCTCTAAGTAAAAGAAGCCAGTGTAAAAATTCTATATACTGTATTATTCCAACTATCTGACATTTTGGAAAAGGCAAAACTACAGAAAGAATAAAAAGATTTGGGGATCCTGGCTGGCTCAGTTTATGATCTCAGCTCCTGGGATGGGGTGCTCTGCTCAGCAGGGGGTCTGCTTCCCCCCCCACCGACCCCCTGCCTGCCTCTCTGCCTACTTGTGATCTCTCTCTCTGTGTCTAATAAATAAATAAAAATAAAAATAAATAAATAAAAAGAAAAAGAAAAGAAAAAGAAAAAAAAAAGATGCATGGCTGCCAGGAGTTAGGGGTGGAGTGGGGGATGAATAGGCAGAGGACAATGAGGATTTTCGAGGCAGTGAAAATATTTTGCATGATACTGTAACTGTGGATACATGTCACTATACGTTTGTTTAAGCCTCTAGAATGTACAACACCAAGAGCGGAGCCTTAATGTAAGCAGTGCACTTTGGGCGATTATAATTGGTCAATGGAGTTTCATCAGTTGTAACAGATGTACCATTCTGTGGGGGATGTTGATACAGAAGGCCATGCATGTGTGGGAGTGAGAGGTATAAGGGAAATCTTGATACCTTCCTTTCAGTTTTGCTATGACCCTAAAAGTTCTAAAAAGAAAAAAAGTTTTTAAAAGAATAAACATCAGAAATTAAATGTTATGATAGATACATTCTATTCAAAAGTTTTTCAGTGGTTCTTTAATTTTTTATAGATAAAGGATAAAATTTCGTAACCTAAAGTTTCCAGAAATATTTTCTGGTCCTCCTCCATCTGCCCTGGCCTCACTTTATTTGCTACTCTTGGCTGTCTCCTGGTTGTCACCAGTATCTGTCAAGGTCATTCCCATCGATGCGTTGCTTCATTTATTGAGTACTTTCTGTGTGTCAGGTATATGCAATACATGAATTTCTTTCTCTTTCTTTCTTTCTTTCTTTCTTTCTTTCTTTCTTTCTTTCTTTCTTTCTTTCT